CATAGACTACAAAACATTTAATGCGTAAATTTGGATTTCTAAACATTCTGTGTTATATTTGTGTTTCTTTTTTTTTTTTCATTACATTCTAAAAGCCCTCCCGGATTCAATATGAGAGCCTAAAGCACTCTACAAGGTCTTCAACTAGCTTAGGGTAGGGGATCGCGAAAGAAATTCTTCTCTTTTAGAAAATTCTCCCTTCCCCTTCCCCTTTCTCTCTCTCTCTCTCTCTCTCTCCCTCTTCCTTCTATCTTTCTCTTTACACACCTGTACTTCCCCCTTCCCTTTTTCTCTTCTGTTCCTTTCTTTCTTCTTCATTGTTTCAATGGTCCCACGAAAACAAAATCTTATTAGATCTATATATTTTTAATGCTGCAGTTTTTTTTCTTCAGGAAAGGGACTTTAGGTGTCGACGGCAAGCGTAGGGATATCGATAAGGAACTATTTATCTTCATGTCTGTGATGAATGAGAATTTAAGTTGGTATCTAGAAGACAATATCAAAATATTCGCACCAGCTCGCGTAGGAACAAACTATCAGTAAGTCACTGTACAAATCATCATTAAGAAATTTAAAAAAAAATGGTTTCTAGCGTCCCTATGTGACCCATTTCATTAGCACAAGTTGTAATGCACAGAGCGAAATAATGTAGACAGAGTTTAATTTTTTTGGTTTCCTCTCGTCTTTCTCTCATTTATCTATCTATCTATCTATCTATCTATCTATCTATCTATCCATCTATGTATCTATCCATCTATCTATCTATCCATCTATCTATCTATCCATCTATCTATCTATCTATCTATCCATCCATCTATCTATCTTTCTATCTATCTATCTATCTATCTATCTATCTATCCATCTTTCTATCTATCTATCCATCTATCTATCTATCTATCTTCTCGAAGTCTTTCTCTTTACTTTCCCTTCCTAACAGTAACACGTGATGTCTTTGTAACAAGAAACAGTAAAAAAAAAAATAATCAATTAGTTAATTAACTTTTGGTAATTCATTATTTTGTTTGGTATCTCGAACAAGGGAAAGAAAATTTACTTGACTGAAATGGTGGTATAAGCTGTGCAAAGTTTTAACTTGATTCGAGATTGGGTGTCAGAGAAATAACATGTACAAACTTCTGGCCAGACAGACACACAGACAGAGTGAGTTGATATAAGCTTTGTAAAAACAATTGGTAACAGTATTTGTAATAGCAATGAGTTATTTTTGTTAGTCAAGATCTATTACAAATTTAATTACATGACTGATACAGTCTAATGGATACAACTACGCTTAATATTAGCTATGTTTTTATGTTCCAATTAGTGAAACACATTGTCGTTATTTGCACTTACATATTTAACGTCAACTTTAAAGATGTTCATGTTTCCGGGTTTTATTTAGGCTTCTCTCTTGATATCCTCCTAAGATAAGCTACTGACTGAAAAGTTTTGGGATTTTGGTTCGTTAACTGTCACAGCAACTCTGCAACAAAAGTCAAGGGACAGATGATGATATATTTGTGTTTTTCTATCATGCTATTTGTGTGTTTGTTTACAGAGCTGACAGTGAGTTTGACGAAAGTAATAAAATGCATTCTATTAATGGACGGTTACATGGCAACAATCAAGGTTTGGTGATAGAATATGGTCAGAAAGTCGTTTGGTACATGATGTCACTAGGAGCAGAGGTACTGTTGTTACTAAGGCAAAATTTGTTTCTATTAAGTCGTGTCAACCAAGCTGACCATTATTTTTTAAAGACACTAACATTAGTTCAATAGTGGAACAATGTCAATCTAAACTATAAGACTATTCTTGGTCAATGTTTTAGATGCTATTGCTCTGTTTTCGCTTCATTTATTTTGTAACTATTACTTTATATTGACCAATATCTCACTCTCATTTTAAACATATGCCTATTGGATCTTTTGTCCATATTGACCATATGCCTATGGGATCTTTTGTCCATTTTAATCAAATCACTGGAACCTGTTGGTCGCCATTAGCATACTTGGTGAAATTCACAGATTCACAAAATCTTTATTAGTATGGATTTTTTTTTAAATTTTGCTAACGAAACTTATACAAACATAGATCTATCTATCAGAATAAACAAATGGGCCACAGATGGCTCATATAAGGAGATAATGAATCATGGACTTCGAAAATGTATTTTCAGTGAAAAATCTGTTTCCAGCATATTAACATTGCCAAAAAAAACCAAGGTTACAAAAGACAGTTTGTGTGGAAACACAAACTCAAAATCTGCCCCCGAAGTAAAATGTTTTACATAATTCGGATAATCCTTCGGAGTTTAAGATAGTTTACTTCCTAGTCCAAACCTCCTGCAGGACGACGGGGGATGGGAGCAGGCAGGGTTTGAACCTTCTACCGTCGATAAATCCGAACGACAGTCCAGTTCGCGAACCGCACGACCTGTGGTCCACCCAGGTAGGCTTCAATATTTTCAGAAAGAACATCCGAATGAAATTATATCAAAGACAAGTGAGAGATAAGAATGGAGAAAGAAGGTTGACAGATCTTGTGTAGTACCCCAAAGGTCCCGCAGATCAATGGATAGGTGCAAGTGAATGTAAAGTTAGATGTGAACCTGGCCTAACTAGTTTCCCTTTCAGACCTTGTGGTCTATAGGGCAGATGATGTTAAGTTCATGTTTTTGTGGCGTACGGTTAACGAGGGTGTCGTGTAGCCAGCACAACGACCCGACCGCCTTTGCTTTTGATATCTAAACGGGACAGACGTACAGACGGACAGACATTTCACACAAAACTAATAACGTCTTTTCCCCTTTCTGGGGCCGCTAAAAAAGAGACGGCGTATTTTGATAAGGGAACTGCTGTTTGTCGATGATGCCACATTCATATCTCATTCACAAGAAGGATTGCAGAGGCTTGTGAATTCTCTGGCTGCTGTTTCTCAAGAGTATAGCCTTACAATAAGCCTCTCCTAGACCGAAATCCTGGCACAAGATGTCGCAGAAATACCAGTGATATAAATTGGAAATCACACACTTACGGTGGTGCAAGAATTCACATATTTGGAAACAACAATAGCCAGCATCCTAGATTTAGACACTGAGCTGACAAAAAGAATAGGAAAGGCTTCTGCAGCAATTGTAAAACTCTCCAATACCCAATTGACTACGGCAACAAAAATCTTAGTCTACAATGCCTGCTTTCTGAGCACACTTCTTTATGGCAGTGAGAGCTGAGCAACTTACATGCGTCAAAACCACAGATTAAATAGCTTCCAACTACGCTGCCTGCGACGCATAATGTGCATCTCCTTTAGGGATCATGTCACCAACCAGGAAGTTTTGAAACAGGCCAATAGGCACAGCATCTATGCTCTCCTTCAACAGAGAAGACTACGCTGGCTCGGTTATGTCACTCGCATGAAAGATGGAAGAATCCCCAAAGACAACTTATACGCTGAGCTTGCAAAGAAAGTCAGACCCAGGGCCGCCCAAGACTAACCTACAGAGATGTCTACATGCGAAACATGAGAGCCACAGGCATCGACCAAAATATGTGGGAGGAGACAGCCCAAAACCGGACAGCATGGAGACAGACTGTGACGTGCTGGTACGAACTTCGCCGAGTGCAAAAGAAACGAAGCTGCAGCCAAGAGAAACAAAAAGAAAGCTGCCCAGTCAGCTAGCTCTAGGACAGATGCATAGACATGCACGAACTGTGGCAAACTCTGCCGCTCCAGAATTGGCTTGATCAGTCACTCCAGATTATGCCCCATCTCAAGACGAAACCAAAGCCAGTGACTCATCTGGGCGCATACATTGTTATCCAAGACAGAAGGAGCCATATATAATATTAACCATTTAATCTTTTGCCCATATTAACCCTTTGATCTTTGGCTCATTTGAATCCTATGTTAATTTGACCATTTGTTTATATTAACCATTAATATTTTTTCCATATTGATCATACGCCCACTTGATCTTTTGTATATATTGACCATTTGATCTTTTTTTTTTTCATATTAAAACTTTTAACTTTGTCGATGTGTAGAAGATTTTGACATTTTGTTTACGTGGACAATATGTCCATTTCTGAATATATTCATGTTCTTGTCTCTAGCCGAAGACAGAAATTACTTTTTTCTATTTTCAATCAGATTGATCTCCATACAATCCATATTCACGGCCACACCTTTGTCCACTCCAGCGAAAAGCACCGCGATGACGTCATACAGATGTTCCCTGGTATGGCCGAAGCGGTTGAGATGGTTGCTGACAATCCTGGCACCTGGCTACTCCACTGTCACGTCATAGACCACATCTTCGCTGGCATGGAGACAGTTTACACCGTCTTGGAACCTGGTCAGCACCGCTACTAGCGAATCTCCCATCATGTTCTGGATTAAAGCTTAGATCATCGTGTTTTAAATGAAATTATAAAGGGAATTGCAGAAACAATGAGTGATATTGTTTTAAATACACAAAATTGATGGGTTTTTTTTTTAACCATTGTAGCAACCAAAGAAAAATTATGCTTTTTTTTACACACCCAAAAAAAAAATCACAGAAAAACTAAATATTTTGAAATATCTGGATCAATAGTTAACTGCTATTTTTCTTTAACTATTCAGTAGGCATTGTGGACTATGCATGCGGTGGCGTAGAAAGGTGCTCATGAACCCGGATTTCAAGATTATGATGGTGGGCCCCCTCCACTAGATGGTATATGAAAAACAAATCCAGCCATCATGTATGCATTAGCAGGTTATTTGAAAAAAGTCATTCCTTAGCTGTTACTGCCTTCTATACTACAACGAATGCTGAGTACAATTCTATAAGAATTTGATGCATTTGGTTTAGATTTTTATAAATGTGCTTTAGTATGCCCCTATTGGTCATGGGCTCGGGTTCATTGAACCCCTTCGCGCCATGGATGCTACGCCACTGTATGCATGCTGAACAGTTTGTTTTTTCAATACACACATACTAATGTTCATTAGTACATCCTCATTACTACGTACGGATATTAATCCTTTTACATATGTACTGTTTTACTATTGATGGTGTTTTACTTTGAATATTTAAATGTCTTTTATAAATAAATATATAATATGGTTTTAAACTAAGTAAATATTTTTCTTAGGCTAGTGTAAAGAAATAAATAACGATTGCATTCTGCTACATTTCAATTTTTTAAAAATGCAAATGTAAATGTAAGAAAATGAAACAAAATGTCATCTTGATTTTCTCCCCTTTACAACTTTCACAATCTAGGTTACATGTATTATGACTTCCGAAATTCCTAATTTTAACTTACATTGTAATTGTGCTAGCTCGAACACACGAAGTCCTTTTTAAAAAAAAAATGTTTCCTTATATATATACAAATGTATTTTTCTTATAAACTTTAACAGTTTAGCTTTACAAAAAAAAAATAAGTATTGAAATTTCTGCTGCGGAACACAGTAGGAGTCTGGTGTACATTAACTGGTCTGATTGTAATACATTCGTGTTTATAATTCACTAGTGACCTTTGTGCCCATGTTAAAGTCTTTCACAGGGCATTTTGTTTGTTTTATATACAAATTTTACAAATGTTTGATTTATATTTAGATCGGATTGCGGGGATGTAGGTACCTATGATTGTTGTTTATTATAACCGATCTAAATAAACAGAGTACCCCAGACATGATATTCTAAATTTAATTTCTTTTTAAATTGTTGGTAATTGTCTATCTTTTAAGATTATTCTAGGTCAAGGATAGCCTAGATGATTCTGCAACATTGACATGTATACAATCAACGAAAAATAAATAAATATAAAATTTTCATTTTAATTCTTTGACTATGTTCTGTTTTTTATATCTAAACACAGAATAGCAAATGTCATGGTATATTGTCATTACTTCTCATGTCATGGTATATTGTCATTACTTCTCATGTCATGGTATATTTTCATTACTTCTCATGTCATGGGGTTGTTGTTTTTTATCTGCAGAATGCCGACTAAATTGCTCGGAGTAGCAATACATCAGAACAAAAGGAAACATCGGTAGCATTTCAATAAAGAAAATTTGCATAAGTATTTTTTGTAAATGTTATTCAAAGCTGCATCCTTCAATGTACCAAGCTAACCCGTGCGGGTGTAAGTTATGAAACGATCCTTGAGAAACGGCGTGTGAATCGTGGCATGGTTGTTAGGGTTTTATTTCAATCCCTGACCTGTAGAATAAACAGGGTTCCTAAGCACCCCAACAGGTAGTCTCTACTTTTGCTACCTTTTTAAACTAAACGTTTCCTCCTTATGACCGTCTCCAGCCGGACGCCACTGTGAGGCTGGGTAGCCTAGTTACCATACAAGACAAGAACGTGTAGCTGCCCAGACCTGACTTAACGTTGCACACACTATTTAATAATTAAACGCAGGATCATTGAACAACTATATAGATAAAACTAATCATCTTCACATTCATCAGTTTCAGTCAAAACATAGTCATAATCATCAGCTTCAGTCAAAACATAGTCATAATCATCAGTTTCAGTCATAACATAGTCATAACCATCAGTTTCAGTCACAACATAGTCATAACCATCAGTTTCAGTCATAACATAGTCATAACCATCAGTTTCAGTCACAACATAGTACCATTACGTCTTTAATGCTTATCTTACAATTTCATATTGACCAGAATAAGATTTGAATAGATTATTTTGTATGGATGCTGTGCCTACCCCATACCACCCTTGTGAGCGATACCCTATTAGCGAATGACGTAGCGGTAAGTAGTTGCACACACACACACGGGAGAAGCTTCGAAATTCACTCACTTATGTCCCGCTTCTCTCTGTCTTACTTGGGCTTTTTTTTTTTTAGCACGAAGAAAACAAACGTGATGGAGCCACCTGCTACAACACCGCCCGCTATCCTCATTGCTGAAAACAAGCTTGGTTACGTACATGAATTCTGCTACCTGGGGTCCACAGTTCAAGACGATAAGGAGACAATACAAGAAAAATATATATAAAAAAAATAAAAATTTAAAGCTTATATTTAGTTTGTAATGTAATTAAATTTTTAATAGATCTTACTAACTTTACTTAGACTTAGCTCCTCCCGCGTCGTTCGGCGCATTGGACAGCAAGCAGTCTCCACAGAGATCTGTCACTGGCAATGTCTGAAGCCTCCCCCCCCCCACCTGGTATCCGCTGTGTTGAGGTCCTCCATTAAAGTGTGGTAGTGCCTAATACATCTAGACTAATAATAATAAATCTGTGCGATTAGAAATATTATTACCAATCGACTTTGTTTAGCGCTATTTAAAATTCATGGTTTTAGCTTTCTCAGTATGTTCCGGAAGCTCAAAATTGGAACCAGTGAAATCTGCCCATGTGGAGTGTCACCAGAGAATGCTGACCATGTTTTTCAAAACTGCATTCTGTACTAAGAGGCCCGAACAAGACACTGGCCACAAAACACCCCAGTAGAAAGAAAACTATATGGAGAGGTCCCTGATTTGGAAACCACTGCGCAGTTCATCTCATGAATTGGTCTAGTCATCTGAACGCTCCAACATAAAAATGAGAACGAGGAAGAAGAAAAAGCTTTCTCAATGCGCTATGATCCTATTTCTGGACCATTTGGGAAGGGGAGGGGCTGGGTGAAGGTATAGTAGTTATTATAGATAAAATACTGAACCATAATCTTCAAAGACAAAACCAAAACCTAATAAAATATTCAGAAAGACACCAAGGTAAAGGCATATTCCTCGTTCTACATGCTCAGAAATATTTGTACAAAAACTCCTTCTTCCCTTGTGCTTTTAGAGCATGGAATGGGTTGCCTGAATCAGACAGAAAAAAAAACAATGACTTGGCAGAGTTTAAGTCATTGATTAACATGCAAGACTAGATTGACCTAGGAACACGCTTGGGACGTAATCATCTTCTTATTTTAAGTAAAATCTGTATTTTAATAGAAAAGAAGGTTACCTTGATAGCTTTTTTAAATGTATTTTTTAATTTAAAAAAAAAATTGTGATGCATGTTACTTAAAAAAAAAATAGTACGACTTCAATTCGAACTCTAGGGCTCGAGCCTCTTCATGCTAATGCGCTAACCAATGTGCCTGCGAAGTGCTTATGAAAATAGAAGGTTTCATATTTATTATTAGTTTCAAGCTTTTAAGCAACGAATTAATCCTCTACACTAAGTATAGCCTAAAGGGGACTAGTTCAACTTATACCGCATACCATCACATCTGTCAAGAACAATTTCTTTCCCTTCTTCAATACCAAACAAAATACTTGATCATCAATCATTAATTTGGCTTCTTGTTTTGTCAGGTGCAAGAAATAATTGTTCAAAATTGAAACCTGATCCGAAATTGGGTAAGGGAGAAACAACGTGTATAAAAATTGTACCAGACAGACTGACTGAGTACTTAAGTCTAAGCTTTATAAAAACATATAGCGAAGGCTCCGTTGACATCCGCTAGACCGACAGTTCGGGAAAACTTGAAATGAGACTGACATGGAGTTATGGACTACGGTCTACCTTCGCAAAGCGAGAGAGAAAATTAAATTCATTTCACTTGCCCTGTCGAAGGATCTTGAAAATCACATAGCAAGAAAGAGTGTGTAACACTTCCCAGCATCTTTAGAATCCTCAGACAACGCCGCCTGTCATGTCCGGCGGATGGATAACAATCGTATCCCGAAACTCATTCATCATGGACAACTCGTGGCAGGCTCAAGAAAACTGTGGTGCCCACCTCCGATATGTGAATTTAATCACCTCAATGCATTGGATATTGATGTTGAGAACTGGGAAGACATAGCCCTAGACCGCACTATGTGGAGAGAGATGGTGACCAAGAAAGCTCTGGAAGAAAAGCATACTAAACGAAAAAAGTCTGGCTCCTCTACTACCATTTTGATTGTCTTTTGTTGTTTCTTTATAGCTGATGAAGGCCTCGTGGCCCAAACGTCCTTTGTGTTTACTTGGTCCAGCAGGGTTTCCTATATGTATGTTTTTGTGTTTTCTTTTTTCTATACAGTCGTTCACCTTGCAGCAGTAATCCTTACATCAATCTATGTATTTTTTAGTATTTATTTATCATATATCTAGGGATTTTTACCAAAAGGAATGACAACTCTTGCCTTGTTTCCTAGATTTAGTATCTATATTTAGACTAAAGGTAGATCTAGATATCTCTACAACACAGTTGCATGCCGCCCTCCTCCTGAGTTGAATGAATGACTTAACTGTCTTAACTACGTAACTTATAGACTCTAATTTAGTAATTGTAAGCATGCTTTTAAAACGATATAATTAAAAACCGAAATCTAGATCATAACGTATTTGTAATCTTAATTATTTTTATATCTTGAAATATTTTATCTTTTGCCTCCAGTCAGAATCATGAAATGACACAGTGGCATTTATTGTGACAGTCAGTATGATTACTATGATGTTACATGTATCATCATAATCATCTAGCTTACTTACTTACTAACTAGTACTAGTAGTATAAACATAATATTAATATTAGTTATTACTATTACTTAGAATAGTAGTGTTACTCCCACATTAGTTTCTTAGTGTCATAGATTAGAATGATAGATCTAAAACTTGTAAAACTGAGTAGTAAATCTTGTCAGATCTAAATTTAAATATGTAAATCTAGTCTTCTACTTAGTTATGATGAATACTATCATACTATTAAATATTAATATTACTTTACAATCTACTTTTCAAGGTCACTTTAGACGCTTTTTAGTGACTCTATTTATTCTAATTTATAAATAAATAGCCTCCTAGATCTAGATTAGATTATGATAAGATATACAAAAGATTAATAGATCTAGGTGGTACATTCTAGAACTTGAGTAGAGTAGCGTCTAGTCCTAGATTTAGATCTATGACAGTATGTAGATCTACATCTATTAAATTACATTACGAGCAGAAAGCCATGCTGTGCTACATGGTCATGCAGTTTGCTCGCTGGACTGTCGTTCAGATTTATTGATGGTCTCGGGTTCAAACCCTGCCCGCTCCAATCCCCTGTTGCCTGCAGGAGGTTTAGACTAGAAAGTAAATTATCTTCAACTCTGAAGGAACATCCGAAACATGTCAAACATTTTACAGTTGAAACTCCCATATATATATATATCAGTCAGAATAGCAATAAATAGCAAGCATAGAATAAATGAAGTGTTGAAGTCCTAGTTCTTCTTTGTAAAATGTTTTGCATGCTTTGAATGTTCCTTCAGAGTTGAAGATAATCCACTTTCTAATCAAAACCTCCTGCAGCGGGCAGGTTATAAACCTGGGACCATTGAGACGACCAAATAACAGTCCAGCACGCATGCCACGCGACCAGGCAGCCATCCTTCTTAAGCGCCATACAAATATAAAAAGCCAAGTTTGTTAAGAAAATCACTGATCACTTATACATTATAAGCCATAGTATTCAAAAGAATTACTATCTCAAAATCATGAAAGCAAAATTATAATTTCTCTAAGGCAATAGTAAAATGAAATAAAAAGTGTTGTTTTTTTTTATTATAATAATTTAGGAAATCAATAATTTGTTTCTTCATACAATGAATTCTTTTATATTTTTCCTTTAAATTAATGAATAGAACCTAATTATAGTTTTGACAATATTTTAATAATTTTTTATACATTGTTTTTCAGATGAGTCCAACAAAACTGAGTGGAGGTCACACTTCATCTGTGTTGTGTGTTGATGTACAGCCGCAGAATGGGCGCATCGCATCTGGAGGGGAAGCTGGTGAACTGTGTATTTGGTCGCATGACGGACAAGTTATTGGGA